TAATTTGAAGAATTTGAGGCAAGGAAACCTGGAGAATAAAAAAAAACAGCATTAGTCTGACAGCAAGATATAACCTGGAAAACACAGAAATTGCAGTTGTGGTGGAAGAGCTATTGCAGAGAAAATAAAGCGATATGATAACCAAATAATGCAATTTCAACAAAATTCACAATTTCAAAGGACTCAGCATAATTTCTATAAGGTCTTTGAAAGTGGACATGGTACACCACAAGTGAAAAACCTAATAAAAAAAATATCTTGAAATTTTGGAAGAACTTGGAGAAAACAACAAGAAGCTTAGTAGGAATACAAAATGAATCAAGCAGGTTGAAAACACTGTAAACGTTACTAGAATGGAAGATGTTCACATAACAACAGAAATGGTGCAAAAACAAGCAAAGAAAGTCAAGAACTGGAATACCCCAGTTTAGATGAGCTGCATGGATTCTGGTTGAAATCACTAACAGGTTTGCATGCAAGATTGGGAAATCAGATGAAACAAGTCCTGGAAACACCAGAAAGCAAAAAATGGCTAACAGCTGAAGAAAAGGGAAATGAATCTGAAAATTACAGGCCAATAACTTGCCTGCTGACAACATACAAATCACTTACAGGTATTATTGCAAACGAAATGTATGTATATCTGAAAAACAAGGATTTGCCGCCAGTAGAACAGAAAGGGTGCTGAAAAAAATTCAAGAGGAAGCAAAGACCAATTGATGATTGACAAACTGATTTTGAAGAATTCAAAAAAAAAAAGACAAACAAATTTCACGGCCTGGATTGATTATAAGAAAGCATTTGATTCTGTTCCACCCAGCTGGATTGAGAAATGCTTAGACATTTTTGGAATTAGCAGCAATGATAATTGATAATGAAGAGTTAATAAAAAATAATCAGTTTCATATGATTTTTATGCAATGAAATTCCTTTAAAACGTAATTAGTTGTGGTCCAGTATTTTTGAAAAAATGATTGCGATTACTAACAATACAAAGTAAAGCCCTGCTTGGAAGTCTATAGAGAACGCACATTGTAAGACTGGGAGCAGTTTGTTTTTATTAAACCATATAAAATATCAATCACATTGGTTGGTATTTTAGAGAATGTTGAGTCTGACTTGATAGTTTGGTGTTAATTTTGTTCCTTATATTCTCTTCAATTATTGTAAAGAAAGCAAAGCAAAACAAAAAAAAGCAAAGGCCAAACATGTATATCTTGGCAAAAACATTCTCTTTTGGCATATCACAAACATGCACTTTTTCTTCAGCAAGTAAAATTAACCAGCTGATTTCAACATGCCTAACAACAATAACCTATTGCCTGCCATTGCTGAAAATATCTGCAATGTATTTAATAAAAATATTCAATTAAAACACTTCACCAAAGAAAGAAAGAAAAAAGAGCCCAACAAAAGCTTTATGCAACCTGGAAATCTGTCAATGGACCTCAGCCACAGAGCAGATGAATATGTAACTCAGCTTTCCCCAACTTTGTTTTCCAGCCCTTTAGATGTTGGGGCTACAAGAATTCCTGCTCAAGTCTGGAAGGCTGTTTTGGTAAACATAGTTTTCTTGACTTTTGTAAACATTAAGCTTGAGTTGGAGAAGCTTGTAACTTTAGTTATCCCACTTTACTCCTATTCAGCTGGGATGTTTATGCTGGTCTATAACAAATAAAGATTTGATAAAGATCAGGTGGTTATGTAAAAAAAAAAAAGCCATTGCTTAAATGAAAGGATATTGTGAATAATGATATATGGCTAACAAAGCTCAACTTCCCATGCTTGTGTAAACAGGAAGAAAACTATTAATTCCTTGGATGCCTTTATGTACACAAATCCTAAAGAGATAAGATTAATTTAACAGCTTAATCCTTTCAAATATTAATAGCTGTGAATATTGTTAAAGCTTAATGAATGTCTTAGAACAGGGCTTTTCAACCTTTTAACCCATTATACCACTGTTAGGATATGGCAACATCCGAGTACCACCAGTCGCCTAGCAAGGTGTCAAAAACTTGATGACCAAAAAAAAAAAAAAAAAAAAAAAAAAAAAAAAAAAAAAAAAAAAAAAAAAAAAAAAAAAAAAAAAAAAGGAAAAAAGTGATAAAGTACAGGTAGTTCTCAACTTACAACAGTTCGCTTAGTGACTGTTCAAAGTTACAATGGCACTGAAAAAAGTGCCCCCCAAGCCACAGCCGAGCAAGACACCTGCCTGCCCGCCCGGCGGTACTCTTCCTCCTGTTCAAGGTTTTCATTGTTGTGAGCATTTCTGTTGAGGATTGGCAGTGGGGGTGGGGTGGGGGGGTGTTTGGTTTTTACTTCCCCTGTCTGCTGGGTGTTTGCAGCAGGTTTTGGTCACTTCACATGACCCTGGGACCGTCATAAATATGAATCAGTTGCCCAGCATCTGAATGTAAATCACAAGACCCTGGAGATGCTGCAACATTCCAGCTGATCGGCGCTTCTGGGCTCAGCAGAAGCGCCAGGATCAGTGCCGAGCTCCAGCTGGAGCCTGGCACTGATCCTGGTGCTTCCACTGAGCCCTGACAGCCCCGAAGAAGCGCCGATCAGCTGGAAAGTAGCACTGATCCTGGCGCTTCCGCTGAGCCCTGACAGCCCTGCAGCTCCAGCCATCTCTCGCTCAGGCTTGTGGGGTGCTGCCACCGGTTCAGCCCATTCCCCTCCCCCACTACCACTTTTCTAGGATGGTCGCGTACCACTTGCCAGGTGCCCATGTACTACAGGTGGTACCCGTACCACTGGTTGAAAAGCCCTGTGTTAGAATATACTGTATCTGACAAGATTCTAAGTAATGAGCATTACAAAATATTCCAGACTGAAAGTATCCTGACAAACAGAATTTTGCTAGTGATGCCATGCCTTCCTCTACATTATCTTTTGTAACTTGGTCCTAAATATATTCCTATGATGCATTTCAAAATATGATTTGTTGGCTGATAAAGTCTTCACTGGCAAAAGCATGCACAGAAGACCCGGTATGGACATACTGTACTGATTGGGATTTATAGGCATAAAGTCTAAAACATTTTAAAGGAACCAATTTGCCTCTTAGTTCATCTGCCTTCAATTGCAAACTGTAGAGTAACGCTGAAGCTATTAGGCTTCACCAGGGAAACCCAAGTTCACATTTCACTTTGGCCAGTCTTCACTTCATACTATTGGATTACAAGGGGTTATATTCTTAGCCAAATCTATTTCACAGGATTGTTTTTAAAAGAGATCTCATTGTAAGTTGTTGAAATCCAAACATGTAACAACTCCATGGTTTGCCAGTGGTAATTATAAATTCAGAATCTGAATTCTTGGTTGGCAGATTTGTCAGCTATAGTTATTATTTAATAACTCATATTTAAGTGATTGTCCACTAGGACTCCGAGATCCCTCTCACAGTTACTACTATTGAGCAAGGTACCCCCTATACTATACCTGTACAATCAATTAAATATGAGCCAGCAGTGTGCTGCAGCTGCCAAAAAGACCAACACAGTGCTGGGCTGCATTAACAGAGGGATAGAATCAAGATCACGTGAAGTATTAATACCACTTTACAATGCCTTGGTAAGGCCACATTTGGAATACTGCATCCAGTTTTGGTCACCGAGATGTAAAAAAGAAGTTGAGACTCTAGAAAGAGTTCAGAGAAGAGCAACAAAGATAATTAGGGGACTGGAGGCTAAAGCATATAAAGAAAGGCTGCTGGAATTGGGTATGTCTGGTTTAATGAAGAGAAGGACGAGGGGGGACATGATAGCAGTGTTCCAATATCTCAGGGGCTGCCACAAAGAACAGGGAGTCAAGCTATTTTCCAAGGCGCCTGAAGGCAGGACAAGAAGCAACAGATGGAAACTAATCAAGGAGAGAAGCAACCTAGAACTAAGGAGAAACTTCCTGACAGTTAGAACAATTAACCAGTGGAACAACCTGCCTCCAGAAGCGGTGAATGCTCCAACACTGGAAGTTTTTAAGAAGAGACTGAACAGCCATTTGTCTGAAATGGTATAGGGTTTCCTGCCTGAGCAGAGGGTTGGACTAGATGACCTCCAAAATCCCTTGCAAGTTTATTATTATTATTATTATTATTATTATTATTATTATTATTATTATTATTATTATTATTAGATAGATGGTGGAAATAAGCAAGGTTTGCATGTGTGATTAGTTTCTGGAGGTCAAGTGTTAGCTGTCATTAGTTTGGCAACATTTGTTACATACCCAATTTGACTTAGAATAACAGGTGAACCCTGTTAAAAGAAACATACATGAAATAGTACTGTTTTTAGATTGTTAATAATAATATTTGCAAGAAAAGATAGAATCATTTTGCAGAAAGATGGAAGATGGGTCTTTAAGCCGGACATTTAAATTAATGGTTTCACAGAAACATCGTTCTGCTTCCATTTCATTAGTGCTTTTTGTCTGCTTTGTATGTCTATTGAATAAATAGCTTGATGTCAGCATACAGGATAGAACAGAAGAGATCCCAAGTGTGATGATTTGGACCTACTCATTTGTGCCTTGAATAAGAACTTGGGTTGATTTGTTTGATGATCCACTTGAAAATTTCAAAAATGTCAATACTTTTTTTATCCAGCATCTGCAAAGTCCAACTTTTATTTTAAGAGAATGTCATTGCTTGCACTGTTCTGATCTTCATAGATATAGATATATCACTGCATTTGGATACCTTTTCCAAAGCCTGCTGCTCTACCAAAGGCTAGTCTACAATATATTTTTGATTGTTTTGTTTCTTTACTGTTGATAGTTGATCCTAAAAGATAGAAGCCATTTACACTTTAGTATCTTCACTGTCAGTTCTAAGGCTGGTTGTTTTAGTTTGGTTACCTTATTTAATTTTCATTCCATTTTTACTGTTCTTTTTGACATTTATTATTAGAGCTTAGCTTACAGATCCTTTGCCTTTTTAGTTACCAGAGTATGTTTTAGTTTATCTGTATTCTTGCTTTATATCTTCTTAGGTAGTGAATATGATGAAGAAGAAGTAGATTATGAAGATTCAGATAGTGATGAGTCCTGGACCACAGAAAGTGCTATCAGTTCTGAAGCTATCCTAAGTTCTATGTGTATGAATGGAGGAGATGAGAAACCTTTTGCCTGCCCTGTTCCTGGGTGTAAAAAGCGATATAAGGTAAGTGTGTTATTTATGATATGAAAAACTGTTCTTTCCAAAGCAGATGCTGTGCAATTTCATAGATTTTATCATGATCTATATTTATTTAAAATTTGTAAGATTACTCAACTCTAAAATAACTTTGGGGACCATATAGTAAAAAGAGTAAACAAATGTTGAAAAAAACAACAATTAAAGAACAATCATTTACTTAGGACTTGCCTAACCTAATATCTGAGAGCAAAATCAGTTTTGGAGGCCTTTTTAAACATGGCCAAAGTGGAAACAAACATATCTCAGGAAGAATAAGTTCTAGAAGGTAGGCACTATGAGGAAAAAGGCACACTTCATAGGTCCCCTATGAACAAAACCTGAAGTCTTCCCAGTCTGTTTGATTGTGCAGCCTGGACAGAAAATATGGAAGAGCAATGTTCTTATATGTGATCAGGTCCTGTGCTGTGAATATATTCTGTATAAAAGCCCTAAGATCTGTTTTCTACAATCTAACACTTTTCAGATTTGTCAGACATTCCTATTAGAGATAGTGGAAGTATTTTATTGCAAGACAGCTTGCAAATGGCTGGACCACTTGAAAAGTGATTCCAAGTTATACACAAAGTGCTGAAAGGCTGTTAGAATAAGGGAAAGGGTTTTGGATCTTATAAAGATTGGTGCAGTTTCTGCATGATTATATGTGTAAGATATTATATGTTCTGCTATAGGCAGCTGTCACTCTGGTCTTCCCAAGAGATAGGATAAAAAGCTTACAATGGAACTATCAGGATTAGAAGAAAAGTGAACCGTTAAAGTCCTAGCTAAGACATCCTGTTTCAAGCTGTCCTGTGATTAGACTTTTAGCTAAATCCCTGGTAAAATATATTCTTTAAATGGCTTCTTAAGATACACTTTGCTTTGAAAATTAAACAGCCTGACAATATTTCTAGCATCACTACAAAAGCCTTTGTTTTCAATCCCGTCATAGAATGTGAATGGTATAAAGTATCATGCCAAGAATGGCCACAGGACACAGATCCGTGTGCGGAAACCCTTCAAATGCCGCTGTGGAAAGAGTTACAAGACAGCTCAGGGTCTGCGGCACCACACAATCAACTTCCACCCACCAGTGTCTGCTGAGATTATCAGGAAGATGCAGCAATAAGATGCTGGTCAAAAATGTGCCAAGGAATCCTCACCAGCAGTTGCTGATTTTGAAGACAGCCACCTTCTCTTGGGAAGCATTGAGCAACCCTTTAAAGAAATTAAAATGCATGCTTTACATTTTTTCCCCCCTGTAATTTTGGAATGACGTATCTTTGTAGAGTTAATGATTTTGTACATTTGCACATGTAATCATCATGCCCATATACATTACTTTAATATAAAGGTGCTAAAAGCTACAGATTTTTTAAAAGTATTTTTCCGTCCCCACCCCCACCCCCAAAGGTGAATTAGGGAACGTTGTATATTTAGCTGTTCCACAGTATTAAATAAGGACGGGGGAGGAAAATGTGACACTAGGATAACTTCCAAGATTGTAATGTGTTTGAAGAAATTCAACACATCAGTTCCTATGTGCTTGCAAAAACCAAAAGAATTATTCCCTATTATCCACCTGGTTAATATGCCTTATGTAACAGAGATATCTGTAGGATAGCAAGGTTATAGGTATTGGAATTATAAATAAGAGAATGTTTAACATATTCGAAGAATATTTTCATACTCAAATAACATACATAAAAGGTGTGCTTGCTGTATTTTATATTATCTTGCAAATCCTTTTAGTCTTCTGAAATGCTGAAATTTTTGCAGTGAATTAGTAGATCACTCTATCATTAAAATTCCTACTTCTATCTGTACAAAACGTATGCTATTTAATGTTAACAATCCACTCAAGTTTCTGAGGACTATCTTTTCCTGGTCCTGCTATTGGCCTCTGCTATCTATTACTAGCAGATACTTGGAAATGAAGTGCAAATTTTCTGAGAGAAATTAATCTTCATCTTAGATGGAGTCCTTAAAGCACTTTGTAGTTCTTCGTTGCCAACAAATTTAAATGTTTTATGTTGCCAATTTTTGCAACTATCAGTGTTGCAAATAAAAAAGAGGCATATTGTTAAGAGGTACAGTATTTATGTTAAGGGAGTTTTTCATTGTACCTTTGGATTTTGCATGTGTGTGTACAGGTAAGACTTCAAGTTACAACCACAACTGAGCCCAAACTTTTTGTTGCAAAGCAAGAGAACTGAAGTGAGTTTTGCCCCATTTTACAATCTGGCTTGCTACAGTTAAGTCAGTCACTGCAGTTATTAAATTAGTAACATGATTGTTAAATGAACCTGACTTCCCCATTGACTTTGCTTGCCAGGTCACCAAAGGTGATCACATGACCCCAGGACACTGCAACCATCACAAATGCATACCAGTTGCCAAGTATCCAACTTTTGATTATGTGGCTGTGGGGATGTTGAAATGGTCGTGTGAAAACCAGTCATAAGTCACTTTTTTCAGTGCCATTATAACTTTGAATGATCACTGGATGGTTATAAGTCAAGGACTACATGTAATATGTATGTAATATGTTATATATGTGTATATGTAAATGTGTGTTTATATATAAAAACATACATACATATACACATATATACATATATAATGTATGTGCGTGTATACACAAAAAAAACAAAATTGTTTGTGTGGATTCTACAGGTTAGCATTACATTTATGAACTGTGAGACATCATGAGCCTTACTGAAATGAAGCACTTTTTGATGCAGGTAATTCCAAGGTAAGACTTCTAACACGGAGTTCCATAGGTCTAAACCATACCTGAATGCTTCATTTATTTGATGCTCTCCTGCCTTCGGCATTCTCTTGTTTAAAGAACTAGTTAAGATTAACAGTTTTAGTATGCAAAAGCTAAGTTAATACTAACTTGGGAGTTTGTCTCCCACATGAGACTATGTTAAGTTTTTCAGATAATCCTTTTCTGTGTATTTTGTATTTATATATAAATGACATGGGAAATACAAGTCTCTTTTCTTTTAGATTAGAATACTGATAAACACTGAGTGGACAAAGATTCTTCACTAAAAGATTTTTTCCAACTAAGATCTCTCATAATGAGGGTTTAAGAAGATAAGCTTCTTTTAGACAAGTTACCCTACATCCACCTTCAGAAAAGTCAATGTACTAGCATCACTAATAGTTTGATGTTAACAGATATCCTAATATAACAATCTATTGCTATACTTAAAGCTTTATATCGATCTAATATTTTGACTTCATTTAATTGTGCTCTCAGTGAAAAATACTGAGTAACTTAACCATTAAATAATGTTGCATGTCAATTCTTTCCACTATTACAATCCATTACTATCTACATAGTCATTGTGGCAGTATTAAACAGACGGAAATGGAACTATTTTGTTATACTGTGTATAGTGAATGTATTGTACTGTGTCTGTGAAAATGTGCTTTAAATTATATTTTCTTATATTTTGCTGGGGATAAGGGTCATTAAGTTTGGAAGTCACACAAAGTTTGTTTTAGAACTGAGCACCATAAAATGTATTGAAATTTCTTTCCATAAAAGCTGCTTACAAATGTTAATCAAATCATTTAATAAATTGCCTCTGACCCAAAAGAAAATTGAATATTGTTTCATTATCTTTGATTGCTTTGCACTGTAAAGATGCTATACATTACCAAGTCACACAATAAAGTGTTCTCAATTTACTTAAAAAATACTCAGAAAATGGTGAGTAGGAAATAAATAGAATATAACACATGTGAATTTTTACTATAATAAATATTCTATGCAAATAGAGAGTTTATAATTTATAAATATAACAAGATTCTATTGGATTGAGATCCAATACAGCTCTCATCAATAGAAGAGTTCATTCTCAATTGAAGACAATTTTTTTTGGAAAACTTGGAAAAACAGTTTCAAGGGAATATTTTAAGAGATTATATATTCACCGTCTGTTCACAATTACTATATAGTAAAGTGTATTTTAAAACCTTTCAAAGGCAATAGATTTCCTTGCCATTAAAATCAGAGTGATCTATGTTTTTTTCTTTTCTTTCTTTCCCTTTCTCGTTCTCTGTCGATCTTGCTTCAAAATGACTCTGGGCAGTTTACAGCATTAAAAGCATTAAAACCATAAAAGATAAATATTGCTAACAATAAAAATTACAATTACAATGTAAAATAGAGTTATAGTTACTGTAAATGGATGTGCAGTAGGGGGAGGTGAGTTTACCTCTTAATTCATTAACCACCACCAGTGTAATGCTCCCCTGATGGGGCCCCAAGACATCTGGCAGGTCTTCAGGACCTTAGAGAAAGGAGCCAATCTCACATGAAGGAATAAGATGTTCCAAACAGAAGCCCACAGCAAAGAATGCCCTTCTCCTGAACACCAACAGCCATAATTCCTTGACTGACAGCACCTGCAACATGCTTCCTCTCGGTGCAGGTGGGGAGGGCCAATCCCAGTGGGGTGAGATGGTTCCTCAAATAACATGGACCCATACCATGCAAGGCTTTAAAGGTAATAACCAACACTTTGAATTACACCCAGAAGCAAACTGGCAGCCTGTGCAGCTTATAGAGCAATGGTGTAATATGCCCCAGGGGCCCCAAGAACTGTGCACGTTACCACACTCAGCAACAGTTGAAGCTTCTGAATGCTTTTCAAAAGTAGCTCCATGTAGAATGTGTTGCAGTAGTCCAGACATAAGATGACCTGGGCTTGAATGACTGAGCAGACTACCAATCTAGAAAAGGCAGTGGTGGGATTCAAATATGTGAACAACTGGTTCTCTGTGTGGATGCTGCTTCTGGAAGTCCGTCCTGGGCCACCAGTTCTGCCGAAGTGGTGTAAACCAGCTGAATCCCACCGAGGAAAGGCCACAACTGGGGTATAAATTGAAATTGTGCGAAGGCTTGCCTAGTCATGACTACCAGCTACTCGTTGAGTAGGAGTCATGACTCCAGGAGAACTCCCAAGTTGCAGATTGGTTCTGTCTATGGTAGTGCAGCTCCATTCAGAACTATGTTAAAATCCCGTATCTTGAAACTCCATGCACTCAAAGCCATTTGATCTTGCCAGGGTTCAATGAAAGTCGATTGCTTCCCATCCAGGCCCCCACAGCATTGTAATAGCATCACTTGGATCACCGTGGAAATATAACATACTGATGATCCTAAACCGGCAAATGATCTCATCCAGCAGCTTCAGGTAGATGTTAAAAAGAAATGGGGAGAGTACCGCGCTATGCAGCATGCACAAAGAAGCGGCCATGGGTTGGACTTCTCTAGCAACATTAATTGGGACTGGCTTTGGAAGAAATAGCCAAATCAGTGCAAAACCGTGTCACCCAGCCCCAAACACTAGAGCTGACTTAAAAAGATACCATGGTTGATGGTACCAAAGGCTTTTATGAGATTACAGAGAGCAAGGATAGTTGCATTGCCTTTATCTTACTGTTGCCAGAGATCATCAAGTGCAACCAATGACAATTCTGTCATAATTGGGCCCGAATCCTCACTAGAAGGGGTCCAGATAATCTGTTTCATTCAAGACCATATGAAGCTGCCAAGCAACCACATTTTCTACCACCTTCTCTAATAAGGGAAGTTAGGAAACTAGACAAAAGCTGTTCAGATAGATGGGATCAAGTAGGAAACTAGATGAAAGCTGTCCAGATAGATGGGATCAAGAGATGGTTTTTTAAAGGAGAGTACAAACCTGGGCCTCTTTAAAAGATTCTGGTAATATCCCCTCCTGCAATGAGGAATTTATCACAGCTTGAATCCATGTGCTAGTCCTAGAGGTTTTTACCAACCAGGTGGGTCAAGGATCTAATTCAGGGGTCGGCAACCATAAACACTCAAAGAGTCACTTGGACCCATTTCCCACAGAAAACATTGGGAGCTGTAAAACTTGTGGAACCAAATCAGTTCCATCAGTCACCAGGATGAATCAGGCTTTCCTGCAAAGAGGGTGGCATAAGAGAATCTCACGGACACCAGGTGTGATCTAACCATGAGAGGGATGGTGTTATATTCCCCCAGCAGATCATTTTGCCATGGTTCCAACAAGAAAATCATATCTGGTGAATGACCACTGTCTTGAGTCAGTCCCAAGATTA